ATATCACAGGTTTATGTCTCCATTTCCCTTTGATGCATTTAACAGAATAGATTATATAGAGAAAAGGGAGTAATAAGCAGAGGAGGCAGAGCCTGAGATAGCTCAAATGCATTACTCATTGCAATTCAAGGAATAAGTAAAAGGTCAACCATGGGACCATAACCCCTTCAGAGTAGTATCTAGGTGTCAAGCATCACAGGCAGCATGGGGTTACCCTTACAGGCGACGCCAACACGTCTAGACCTGCTCTTGCCCTGATATTTGCAGTTTTGTTTGGAACGTGTTGTAAGCCTGCAGTCTGTGACTCTTACTACAGCTGCATGGCAGTTCATCCTGCCATTCCTGCACTGGATATTGGTGGTATTGCAGATGTTCTTAATGGTCCCAATGTCTTCGTTGATGAAGGTGTGGAATTGCTTGCACCTAGGCCTGGTCATCCGCCAACTTTTCATCATCTTGTTGCAGTACCAGTTGTTGCCACCTGGCCAAGTAGAGTCCACATGTTGCCGCAGGAATCGTTGGTATGTGGCCTGGCCATAGGAGGGCTGCACCAGCCCCAGCCCCAGCCGCAGCCCCAGCAGGGTCAGCAGCGAGAGCAGAAGCAATGAAAGGGTCTTCTGGAGAGCCATCACTGCCTTGGAGGTGCCTAGAGAGAAACCAAGAAGTAGGAAAAAGGAAGGTAACAAATGGGCACCAGAGAGAGGAGTTGAGAATGACAAGCTGATATTTCCTCAACTCTATAGTCTACTCTTTCCTCCCCACTTCTCTGCTCACAACTTTTCTCATCACTGCTTCCCCAAAAGTTAAAAGTTTGCAAACATGATCTTCTCTGAAAGCAAGAACTTTTCTCTTTTATAAGAGAGATGGTGCTGTAACCAGTATAATGACTCAGGGCAGAGACTGACGGGCTGGATGTCCAAGTGTATGTGTCCTGTGTGGTCAGGGTGTGAAAAGGGAGAAAAGGCAGATCTAAATGAAACTAGAGTTGTCTGTCTCTTGAGGAAATTTTCTAGTCATGTGATCTTAGGAGAGTGTTTGGTTCCCTGGAGACTCTGATTCCCAAAGGTTTGGATAGACAGGAGATGCGAATGAGAGTTTGTAAACTGATTTTAATTCCTGACATCTGGGAATTGAGGAAGGTGTGAGAAAAGGATAGAGTAACATTTAGAGTTAGCCTTTCCTCTCATATGTCTATTCTTTTAAAATTAAAAAATTTTTCAATTACAGTTGACATATACTATATTAGTTTCAGTTGTACCACACAGTGATTACAGATTTATATAGCTTATGAAGTGATCACCCCATAAGCCTAGCACCTATCTGACATCTACATCGTTATTACAATGCTATTGACTATATTCCCTATGCTGACTTGGCATCCGCATGGCTATTTTTTAAAACTGGCCATTTGTATTTTTTGATTCCTTCACCTTTTTCACCTGTTGGCATTCTTTTAATGATAGTAAAATTGAGTTGTTGTTTTTTTTGAAAACTGATATATCCTATTTTAAAAAAGTAAAAAAAACAGAGTATCCAGCCAAAGTGCTCTGAAAATAATAAATATTGGTTGAGTGAACTAATAAACAAAACAAGGGAATTAATGACTGAATGAAATGATATGGGTATAGGGAATGAAGGTATTTCCCAGGCTTGTGGAATTACAGATAAAAGAAATTTAAAAAATAAATGTCAACAGCACAATCTCCACAAAAGAGGACTTGCACTGTGACTTCTTTCCTTGCTGTTTCTATGCACAACCTAAAAACTAGGCCCTGGTGATATAATCCATCATCATGCATGTATCCTTCAGGCTGTGTTTTTCTTCTCAATAGCTGTTGTTAGTTTGCTGTCAACTCTAGTTGCAGAATCATTTTGATGGCATTTTCGGAAGTGTAAAATTAGCATGTTTAATAGCGTTTTTTTTTTCTTCTAAAAAAACTCACAAAGCTAAACAAAAATCTTCAGAGCCACAACAAAGAAAGCATTGCCGCCAAAACTGGTTTGGCTCAGTGGATAGAGCATCGGCCTGCGGACTGAAAGGTCCTAGGTTCGATTCTGGTCAAGGGCATGTACCTGGGTTGCGGGCATATCCCCAGTAGGAGATGTGCAGGAGGCAGCTGATCGATGTTTCTCTCTCATCGATGTTTCTGACTCTCTATCTCTCTCCCTTCCTCTCTGTAAAAAATCAAAAAAATATATTTAAAAAAGAAAAGAAAAGAAAGCTTTGCCATATAGTGTCAGAATATTGCTTCTGTTGACTGAGGAAAGGAAGGAACCAAGACCTATCTGTGCCTAAAATCAGTGCTTTTTCCCCATCTTCTACTGCCTCTCTCTTTCCACTCCCCAAATATTTGGGATATTAAAGACATTTATGTTCAGAGTTGCTTCTCTTTAGTAACAGAGTTTAATAAAGGTTGGGATAGCGTAGGAGTGGAAGTGGGAATCTCTCACCAACACTAACTAGCTAGATGATGCCATCTGATGGTCACTCCTGGGATTGGCATGAACTCATGAACTGTGAATCTCCTTGACAATGGCAATGAAGCAGGACTGACTCACTAGAGCAGCAATTTTCAACCTTTTTCATCTCAGGGCACACATAAACTAATTATTAAATTCTGAAGCACACCAAAAAAATATTATTTGTCAATCTGACAAAAAAATTGGTATAATTTTGATTCATTCACACCAGGAGGCTATCGTGTTGGTTGTCATTTTTATAAATTTGACAATCTAAGGGAAATGTGGCCAGTTTGCCTGACTAGTCAGATACTGCTGGTTTTAAAAATTTGGTGGATATGTAATACCCTTTGTAAGACTTTAAGAAATAAAACAATTTAAAAAAAATTTGGGGGGCATACCAGTTGAAAATCGCTGTACTAGAGCAAATAAAATTAATCTCTGACCCAACAGGAAGTGAGCAACCCAAAACAGGAAGGACAGTTATTTGAGGGTCACACAGGCCCATTTCTACACATGCAGTCCAAGGGCTGATAGTAGCTGAAGTCCTAGTTTGATGAATATGGGTACTACTCCCTTTGTTTTCAAAGAAGATTCATGATGGCAGGTCACACTGTTTGGGTGACTGAAATGGCCGATGAGGGACCTGCATACCAGTTTCAAACAAAACTTAATTCTATAAAATGCTATCTCCTATAGTCATAGCAGTCTTTTGCTTGTATACAAAAGTCCAGAAAACCCTATGTCACATACCAGTGCCTACAGCTATAGATA